TCCCAATCAGTGGAAAGCGGGTAGAGTGGTCCTGCTCCGCAAAGCGGAGCACCCCGCAGGTTCGGTGGTTCCCACGGCGTTCCGCCCCATAGTGCTGTTGGACGAGATCGGCAAGCTCTTCGAGAGAATCTTGGCGGGCCGACTCGTCCAACACCTGTCTCAGGTAGGTCCCGATCTCAGCCCGAAGCAGTTCGGGTTCCGAGAGGGGCGCTCGACGATAGACGCGATCTCGCGTGTGCGCTCCCTCTCGGAAGAGGCGACGTCCCAGGGTGGGGTGTTGTTGGCGGTCTCTCTAGACATTAAGAACGCCTTCAACACCCTGCCCTTTGCGACTATTAGGAGGCGCTGCAGTACCATCGCGCGCCTCCCTACATTCGGGACGTGATCGGGGCCTACCTCGAAGACAGGTCTGTGCTCTGCACGGGGCGGAACAGCGTTGTAGTGTCGAGGGAAATGCAGCGCGGTGTTCCACAGGGATCGGTTCTGGGCCCGATCCTGTGGAACATCGGGTATGATTGGAACCTGCGGGGCGCCCTTTAACGGGCACTGACCTCGTGTGTTACGCGGATGACACCTTGGTCACTGCCCGGGGGCGGGACCTACGGGAGGCTACCCGCTTTGCCACGGCAAGCGTGGCGCTGGTCGTCGGTCGTATAAGAAGGCTTGGGCTCCAGGTGGCGCTGGAGAAGACCGAGGTCCTGTGTTTTCATGGGCCTCGGCGCGCGCCACCTCCGGATGCCCAGCTGGTCGTCAGTGGCCAGAGGGTGGGGGTCAAGCCCTGTATTCGATACTTGGGGCTTGACCTGGACAGTCGTTGGAGCTTCCGCGCTCACTTCCGGAACCTGGTCCCTCGCCTCATGGCAGCCGCCGGCGCTCTTAGCTGGCTGCTGCCAAATGTGAGGGGCCCGGGAGAAGGTTCCCGCCGCCTATACCTCGGCGTGGTGCGGTCCATGGCCCTGTACGGGGCCCCCATCTGGGTGGGGGCCCTAGGTAGGGAAAATGTGGCCTTTTTTTTTTTTTTTTTTTTTTTAACGTGTGGAAAAATCTTCAAAAGACCGTCACCCCGCCGGAGGGATGGCGAGGTGGTGTGTGGGACTTGTACCCACTAAAAAACCACACGGTGTACCTACGAGCGCCTATGCCGGAGCCAGGGGATTCGCAGGTGCATTCTACCCCAGCTCCGACGGCGACGGCCCGCCCTGTAGATGTTGTAGGGCAGGCCCCATCTCGTTTTGTGGTTAGGGCGACCTATTTCGCCCTACTCCATTGTGGAGGCGTGTGGGTACACGCGCACACCTCCGGGGCCTTTGGATTGGGGGACTGCCTCCCTCAAGGCAGTCACCCCGGCCCCAGTGGGGGATAGAGGGGGGCGGAGTTGGATACGCTCCCACCTCTAGGCCTGGCTCTTCTGCGGCGGAGGGAAGCGGGACGATCTGACTCCCGCTCCCTTTCCGCCGCCTCCTTCCGCGAGATAACTTCCTCGCAGAAGGAGCTCACCGCCAGCCACGATCTCTCGCTACTGACCATCCTCCGAACTAAATTCGGCAGCGAGAGATCGTCCCCCACTATTCGTGTGAGGACACGGCGCTCACTCTCAAACGCTGGACATATTTCCAGCGTGTGTTGCGCCGTGTCCTCTACACCTCCGCATTCGTGGCAGCCGGTCGTCGGCTCCTTCCTCGCCACATGACACAGATACCGCCCAAAGCAGCCGTGCCCGGACAGTATCTGTGTCATGCGGTACGTCAGTGGCCATCTCCTATTCATCCACCGTTTGAGGATGGGACGGACAGCCTCGATGGTCCTCAGGCCGGCCGACGGGCTCATCAACCTCGCCCGCCATTCGATCCTGAGGATCCGCCGAAAGTCGGACCTCCGCGCTTCAATCTCGTGACCAGCGGGTGCCTCCCCCATGGAACGTCGCTCCGCGCGCCAGTGATACACTGACGCGTGGAGCTCCGCTACCAAGTCCCACGGAGGAGACCCCGCCAGCAGACCCGCCGCCTCCCCGGATATGGTGCGGTAGCCTCTTATGGCCCGTATGGCCATGACCCTGTGTGGCCTGTTGAGGCAGGCCACATTTTCCCTACCTAGGGCCCCCACCCAGATGGGGGCCCCGTACAGGGCCATGGACCGCACCACGCCGAGGTATAGGCGGCGGGAACCTTCTCCCGGGCCCCTCACATTTGGCAGCAGCCAGCTAAGAGCGCCGGCGGCTGCCATAAGGCGAGGGACCAGGTTCCGGAAGTGAGCGCGGAAGCTCCAACGACTGTCCAGGTCAAGCCCCAAATACCTAATACAGGGCTTGACCCCCACCCTCTGGCCACTGACGACCAGCTGGGCATCCGGAGGTGGCGCGCGCCGAGGCCCATGAAAACACAGGACCTCGGTCTTCTCCAGCGCCACCTGGAGCCCAAGCCTTCTAATTCGGCCGACGACCAGCGCCACGCTTGCCGTGGCAAAGCGGGTAGCCTCCCGTAGGTCCCGCCCCCGGGCAGTGACCAAGGTGTCATCCGCGTAACACACGAGGTCAGTGCCCGTTAAAAGGGCGCCCCGCAGGTTCCAATCATACCCGATGTTCCACAGGATCGGGCCCAGAACCGATCCCTGTGGAACACCGCGTTGCATGTCCCTCGGCACAACAACGCCGTTCCGCCCCGTGCATAGCACAGACCTGTCCTCGAGGTAGGCCCCGATCACGTCCCGAATATAGGGAGGCGCGCGATGGTATTTCAGCGCCTCCCTAATAGTCGCAAAGGGCAGGGTGTTGAAGGCGTTCTTTATGTCCAACGAGACCGCCAACAACACCCCACCCTGGGACGTCGCCTCTTCCGAGAGGGAGCGCACACGCGAGATCGCGTCGATCGTCGAGCGCCCCTCTCGGAACCCGAACTGCTTCGGGCTGAGATCGGGACCTACCTGGGACAGGTGTTGGACGAGTCGGCCCGCCAAGATTCGCTCAAAGAGCTTGCCGATCTCGTCCAACAGCACTATGGGGCGGAACGCCGAGGGAACCACCGAACCTGCAGGGTGCTCCGCTTTGCGGAGCAGGACCACTCTACCCGCTTTCCACTTATTGGGAAACCGTCCCGACTCCAGACACGCGTTAAACAAGCGCCGGAGTCGGTCCCCTAGGGTGTTTAGGGCCAAGGCCAGGACGCGGCCGTGGATACCATCCGGACCCGGGGCGACATTCTTGCCCCGGAGTTTATCCACGGCCGCGGCGAACTCCTCCTCGGTGATGATAGGAACCGCAGCAGCGCTGACGCCGCTGGCTTCTTCATCACTGCCACGCGGCGTCATCGGAGGAGGTGTGAAGGGAGGCTGTCTCGGGAACAGCTCCTCCAACACCCCCTCCAGCTGCTGCGGCTGGAGACCCTCTGCCACGGGGGGCGCCCAGGGGCGTAGTTTGCCCCTGACGAACCTATAAGGACGCCCCCATGGATCCCTGTCCAGGGTCTCCAGGAGTTCTTCCCTGGCTGCCTCCTTGGCCCTGCTGATGGATAGCTGCAGAGCTTTCTTCCTCTCTTTGTACTGCTCGTACAGCTGTGCTTCCTCGTCGGCGTCGCGGCCCCGCCTGAGTCGGCGGTGCCTGGTGTACCGGCGGCGGGCGGCGGAGCACTCCTCCCTCAACGCCGCTATCTCCTCCGACCACCAGTACACCTGACGCCTAGGAGGTCGAGGGCCGGCTCGGGGCATCGCCGCGTCGCAAATGTGCGACAGAGCCTCACCGAACCAGCCCACCTCTGCGTCGACCTCCACAGGCCCCTCCGGTATGGGAACCCAGGCCTGGACGATGGAAGCCTCCATCAGCACGTCTTTATTCAGACGTTTCAACACCCATCTGGGGAGTTGTGGGACATTCCTCTCCTGGCGACCGGGGTGCGGAGCTACGGGTGAGGGGAGAACGTCTATCCGAATGTAACGATGATCGGATAGCGTCTCCACCTCATCCAACACCTGCCAGCTCCGCACCCTCTGTGCGATCGCTGGACTGCAGAGGGATACGTCGACATGCGACTCCCCTGCTGTCTCACGCACGTGGCGGCCGACCCTCGGTTCAACACCACCAGGCCGGCCGCGGCCGCCCAGTCTTCCAGGACCCTGCCTCGAGAGTCGGTGATGGGGGAGCCCCATGCCGTGGATTTGGCATTGAAGTCCCCCATCACCATCATTGGACGGGCCGAGTATAGCTCCATAGCGGCCCCCAGCCCGTCCATGAACTGCTCGAACTCGGCGAGAGTCCTGTTCGGAGAGAAGTATGTCCCGACAACGACGGTTTCCCCCAACTCACACCTATGTACCCCGCTCCGCCGAATAGGCGGCTGACGAGCGGGGTCGCGGGGTTGCCCGCGCCGACAATGGCCACCAGGCCAGAGGGGTCGCCGAACCAGTGGTCACTACGTGGGACACGATATGGTTCGGCGACCACTGCAAGGTCAACTCCCCACTGCGCCGCGCTCTGCAGAAGCAGATCCTGGGCGCGCGCGCAGTGGTTGAGATTCCCCTGCAGGAGGCGATGGACTGCCATTATTGACCGGTGTCCATCACCTCAGCCTCTCCCCGGCGGCCATTGCCGCGGGCCGACGACAGTGCGGATCCCCTCGCTCTCTTGGACCGGGATTGGGGGCACTTTTTGGCCCCCACCCGGTGATCGGCTGGGCGACCCGCCGCTGCGCAAACCACGCAGTGTGGAGTCGCCATGCACCCAGCCGCTTTGTGGCCGGGTTCTCCACACCGGTAGCATAAGCCACTCCGGTCCTCCTCGTGCGAGCACCTTGCCAACACGTGCCCGCTCTCGAGGCACCGATAGCACCGGAGCGGCTTCTGCCGCAGCAGTTCCGCAGCAGCGGACACCCAGCCGATCTTGATCCGGCCTGCCGTCGTGATCCGCTTGACCGCGGCTAGTGGGGCCCGCACCCAGCAGGTGCCCAGGCCTGACGCGCCTCGTCGAATTTCTCCGACCTTGACGGCGGCCGCCGCACACTCGCCCTGCTGGGCTACGGCGGCTGCCACCTCTTCCCGTCGGTACCGTCGTCCAGACCCATCATTCTCATTTCGGCCGTTTTGACGGGCCTGGAGATGCGGACGGTATCCGCCGGGAAAACCTCTTGGAATTTCGACGCAAGCGCGTCGGCCTGTTCTCCCGTCTGGGACCCTGGTATTTCCAGTATACGGGCCCCAGTAGCCGCGGTCTTAAAGCGTAAGCTTCCAATCCCCAAGGAGGCGAGGTCTATTTTGCTCTTCGCCTCCTTGAGCACATCCGTGTACGTCAGCCCGCCAGCCTCCGCCCCCGGAGCGAGGGTAACCACCACAGCCGCTGATCGCGGTGCACGCAGTTTGGACGGTGATGGCGGGGCCTGCTTGTTCTTCCTTCCCTGAGAGGCAGCCCCAGAGCTCCTCTGTGTGCTCTGGGTGCTCTGAGTCTGTCTCTCGGGGACGGTGCGGGTTTTACCGCCCCGCTTCACCACCGTGTTCCACCCTTCTTGCGCGCGTCCCACGCCCGACGGGCCCGGCTGCTGACCGTCGGAAACCGGACGGTTGGCGGGCTGACGCTTCTCCAGACGTGGGAAGTCTGCACCCCGACTTCCCTGCAGATGGGGAGCGTCCCTAAATCCTGGTCCCCCTGCGCCAGGCAGACGTGACAGAACCTCGTACTGCCCGTCGCTTTGAAGTGGCGGGCGGTACTCAGGGCGGATAGTCGGCGCCGGGGAGGACTTGTCCAGAAGGGCCCGCAACTGGATGAAGCCCTTCCTCATCTGTTCCTCCACCTGGGCCGAAATTAAACGGCCGGCCGACTCCAAGATATCCGCCCTGAATGCCTCGACATCACTCGGCGCAGGAGCCGGGACTGTGATGCTCCTCTTCGTCGGTTCCTTGGGAGCCGAGGAGGCAGCCGAAAGGGTTCGGGGTTGGGACTTAGCCAGGCGGGTAAGTTCCTCCACTTGGCGACGAAGGTCATCGTTGGCCTTGCGGAGCTTGGCCAGTTCTTCGTTGACGCTCCGCCGCTCGACCGCCCACGTGGAGAAGGTTTCATCCACAGGGACCTCGGGATCCAACCTCTCTGCCATGAGGAAGATATCTCCTATATTTTTCTTTAGGAGGCCCACCTCAGCACCTTTTATGTTGCGGCACTTTTGCACGGTGTGCAGGATTGACCGCAGTTTGTCTCCCATCTCCTCCCTGAAGACGGCGAGCGAGTCCATCTCACCCTTAGAGGGCTCCACCCTCTTCGCTGAAGAGACCTCCTTGGGGCGGACAAACACCACGCCGCCATCAGGGAGGATCCCGGTCCGTCGGCTTTCCTGCTGGGACACCGGCAATGTCGCAGGAGCCTTCTCTCTCTCCGTATTTGAGGGAGGCTTTCCGCCCCGGGACGAGGAGCAGGGTATTTTAGATGGTTGGGTACCACTACCCATCGCCCCGGAGGGACCCGCCCCATCTGTGTGTGGCCGCTTAGCAACGGCCGTCCTCGTGAGCCCGTCATCACGGGACACCAAACATCCGGACAACTCGTCCTCCACCAACATAGATCGCGTCGAGCGCGTCGAGCGCGTCGACGACGCCGATGACGGACGAGATGCCCGTGACCTGGGCCGCGAGACGGGCCGCGACCTCACCGGTTGGTCCTCCATCTCCAAATCCGCCTCAGTTACTGAGTCTGACATGGACCAGAACTCAGCAGACCAAGGGGATGGAAACTCCTCATTACCCCCCCGGGGAACGGGAGAAAGTAGGTTTGGTGCCTGCTGGAACTCAGCCTGCAACCAACAGATGACCACTCCCAACCTAAGTTGGGAGGGTGTTTGGGAGGCTAGCGCCTCAAAAACTACTCCGGGGTTTCCCCCGGAGCGGACACACTGGGCAAGGGTGACCCCCTGTACAGTGCAGCCGCTCCCGGTGAAATCACCACAAACACCTCAGCACAACACAAGATAGAAAAAAATACTTAACCTAACTAACCTAACTATGTACAAAACCTAACCTTTTTTTTTTTTTTAACGTGTGGAAAAATCTTCAAAAGACCGTCACCCCGCCGGAGGGATGGCGAGGTGGTGTGTGGGACTCGTACCGCACTAAAAAACCACACGGTATACCTCGAGGTGCCGTGGGCCGAAGTCCGGGGTTCGCACTTGGCATTCAACCCAGACTTCGGCGGCTTGGCCTGTCCTGTAGATGTTGTAGGACAGGCCCCCTCTCTCTGGTTAGGGTGCTATGACTTGCACCCTACCATCTCGTGGAGGCGCGTGGGTACACGCGCACGCCTCCTGGGGCCTGATTGTGGGGTGATGCCTCCCTCAAGGCATGCACCCCGGCCCCCGTGGGGGGTAGGCTCGGGACGGAGTTGGGTGCGTCCCGACGCCTACGCCTGGTCCTCCGGCGGCGGATCATTGGAGCCGAGAGATCATACTCCCGGTCCCTCTCCGCCGCCTCCTTCTGCGAAATAACTTCTTCGCAGAAGGTGAGTACGGCCAGCCACGACCCCTCGCTCCTAACCATTGCCCGAACTAAATTCGGCAGCGAGAGGTCGACCCAAACCTAACCTAACCTAACTATATATAACATAATAAAAGAAAAGGATAAAAAAGAAGGAAAGAAAACACGAAAGAAACAAACAAATAAACACGAAAGGGTTGCGCTTAAAAACCAATCCGAAAAACCTCCCAAAAAATGTGGTCAAGTTGTGCCTTAACCAAATATACTGGTCCCTCAGTGAGGGAACTTTTCTAGACCAGGGAAAATGTGGCCTGCCTCAACAGGCCACACAGGGTCATGGCCATACGGGCCATAAGAGGCTACCGCACCATATCCGGGGAAGCGGCGGGTCTGCTGGCGGGGTCTCCTCCGTGGGACTTGGTAGCGGAGCTCCACGCGTCAGTGTATCACTGGCGCGCGGAGCGACGTTCCATGGGGGAGGCACCCGCTGGCCATGAGATTGGAGCGCGGAGGTCCGACTTTCGGCGGATCCTGAGGATCAGGTGGAGAGAAAGGCTGGCCAGTCCATCGGCCGGCCTGAGGACCGTCGAGGCTGTCCGTCCCATCCTCAAAAGGTGGATGAATAGGAGATGGCCACTGACGTACCGCATGACGCAGATACTGTCCGGGCACGGCTGCTTTGGGCGGTATCTGTGTCATGTGGCGAGGAAGGAGCCGACGACCGGCTGCCACGAATGCGGAGGTGTAGAGGACACGGCGCAACACACGCTGGAAATATGTCCAGCGTTTGAGAGTGAGCGCCGTGTCCTCACACGAATAGTGGGAGACGATCTCTCGCTGCCGAATTTAGTTCGGAGGATGGTCAGTAGCGAGAGATCGTGGCTGGCGGTGAGCTCCTTCTGCGAGAAAGTTATCTCGCGGAAGGAGGCGGCGGAAAGGGAGCAGGAGTGGACTCGTCCCGCTTCCCTCCGCCGCAGAAGAGCCAGGCCTAGAGGTGGGAGCGTATCCAACTCCGTCCCCCTCTATCCCCCACTGGGGCCGGGGTGACTGCCTTGAGGGAGGCAGTCCCCCCAATCCAAAGGCCCCGGAGGTGTGCGCGTGTACCCACACGCCTCCACAATGGAGTAGGGCGAAATAGGTCGCCCTAACCACAAAACGAGATGGGGCCTGCCCTACAACATCTACAGGGCGGGCCGTCGCCGTCGGAGCTGGGGTAGAATGCACTTGCGAATCCCCTGGCTCCGGCATAGGCGCTCGTAGGTACACCGTGTGGTTTTTTAGTGGGTACAAGTCCCACACACCACCTCGCCATCCCTCCGGCGGGGTGACGGTCTTTTGAAGATTTTTCCACACGTTAAAAAAAAAAAAAAAAAAAGAGTTTAATGATCACACAAAAGAAAACTGGGGCTATGGTACTAATACACTCAGAATGATGAACCTGTCCCCCTCAAAATCAATGAGGTACGCAACCCCCCCAAACGGGATTCCACCACAGCAGTAAGGGTATCCCCCCACTCCTCCCCATACATGGAGTCATAACCCTCCCACAACTATCAAATTCAATTTTTTCTCCATCGCTACAAAATTTTGATTAATGGAAAATCTCCCATGTGATATCCGTGATTGACGCAGTTATTGTTATTACACTGACATTTACTGTATTCGATACACAGAGTAGTTTACTACTTTTCGCATGCATTCCTCTGCTACTGAAGATTAGGCTGTATGGTCTCGTACCTTTGCCTATCCACTTGTGGATAAAATATACCACTACTACTACTATGCATTCCTCTGGTATACGTACTTTACTCTTTGATGTATTGATTGATTTTACTTTTAAAGAATACTTGCATATAAAGATGTGCTAACTCGTAATAAACAGGATTCGAGTTAACTCGAGTTAAAATTCAGGTAACTCGAGTTGACTCGTTAAGTTTTTTTTTATTTATTCGAACAATTCTAATGTTTTTGGGCACAGCTAGCCTTGAAAGCTTCACCGTACTTTAGGGGCGAGTAGAAATGGAACTTTAATGACTTATGGAATGCATAATCATTTTATTGATATCATAATCGGACGAATATGCGAAAAAAAATTATAACTACCTCAAATCAATATTTAAATATTTGTGACGAAAGAAAATTGTATGATACGAAATGATCGGAAAATATCATGTCATTCTCAGTTCGATGACAGAATCGTGCTCTGGCTCTTTCACTTGATTCATTAATTTACCAGTTGAATTATTCCAACTCGAGTTGGCAGAATTCAACTCGAGTTAACTTGAGTTGACACATCACTAAGTTGCATGTATCAAATAAAATCAATACTTGCAGGGTGGTGCAAGCAAGTCGTATAGAAATTATTGTACAGTAAATATATGTTTGTTAGTGTATTAACTTAATCTCAAAGTATCAATTGGTTATTCATTTGCAGGTTTAATTTCGCTACAAACCATCAAAACAATGGCATCATCTTCATTGGCGGATGTGCCTACAGTAGATATAGATCCATCTGGGGTATTTAAATATATGCTGATTAAATTATATGATAGAAAACAAAGTGAAGAAAACTTTGTATACATTGTTCGCGGTTACTGCAGATGCATTTACCATTCAGACGTATATGTGGAGGTATGTATATAAACTTCATTTGTTTCTCTACATTTGTCTCCTTTTTTTTTCAACTCGAATTTTAAAAATATTGTTATCCGAAATACATCGTTATTATAATACTTATTAGCAAAATATAGTCACATGCTGTTAGATAGTGGGTGAAATCTTCCACTTGCCAAAACTACTTAGCAAACAAGTTGACAATGGCAGCAGAAATATGTAATAAGGAGGTACTGCACACTAACAACTTTGTGGAGACCTTTGTAAATATAATAGAAAGAAACTTAATATAAACTCATTTGAATTGTCATAGAACATATATTTTTATATAATTTCATTACTACTTTGACATGTATAATTATTGTTTTTATTTTTAGGTACAAGAAAAACTGCATCCATTAGATTGTGACATAGTGGGTGGGGTAGTATATCACATGAACCGAGTTCAAAGAAGATTCGCATCTATGGTCATGCACACGGCTATGGCAAAGCAGACCATGAAATAACAGCCAAACTTATCAAAGCTGCATTCCCTAACTATAAAATCACAATTAGTGATAAAGCATATTAAATGCAGTCATATTGTAAAATGTTATTAAATTTAATGTTTTAGCTTTTATTGTTCTATTTAATGTAAATGACATACATCCATGAGGGATATATGTCATTTATTATAAATGTGCAGTTAATAGAATTCTTAGATGTAACTTCACTGTTATGAGTAACATGTATACTATAACAGCCAATAAATATATCATTTGAATTTAAAATTCATTATCGTTTTATTTATTCATTCGTTAAGAACCATTTTCATGTAAATCTATATACTAAAAACATTATAATGTAGCATGGGAGGCTTTTAATATTTATTTTATTCATAATAATAATAAACTCTTTATTGTGCACATACAATACAATAAGAAAATCAGTAATTAAAAAATAATTACAAATGGCGGTCTTATCGCTATAGGCAATTTCTTACAGACAACCTGCTAACAAGCAATAGGACTAACGTAGATAGAAGAGGTAGATGGCACACATAAGCAGGAGGGGGCCAGCAACCACCACGCCAGATCCTATTCTCGCTAGTTCGTCCGCGGCGTCATTGCCATATGATCCGCTGTGCCCCTTTATCCATTGGATAATTACTCTATTGTGTGTTGCAATTTTTTCCAAGGCGATGTAGCACTCCATTATTAGTTTGTTGTTGGATTTTCTGTTCTGTAGCGCTTTAAGCACGGCTGCACTGTCCGATATGAATTTAATGTTGAAATTGTTGACCCCTAACCTGTACACGGCTGTTGCTGCCTCGGTCAGGGCAACACATTCGCACTGAAAGATCGAACTGTGTTCTCCGAGCGGTATATATATGTTCATGTTGAGGTCGAGGGAATGTGCTCCAGCTCCTGAACCGTTCTGTGTTTTGGAGCCATCTGTGTATATGCGTAGTTCATTTACTGCAAATTGGTCTCTTTCCACCTCCTTCAATTGTATTTGGTATTTCCTGTTGAATGAGTGGTATGCTTGAGTTCTATCACACGGAGCGGCAATCAAAGGTTCATATTCGATTGCTTGGTTCAGGATGGTTGTGTGAGAACTGTTACGGTCTTATTACAAAAAATCTGTTAAAACTCGGACGAAACGTGGTCTAAATGGTTGTTGTTTAAACCATTCCTAAAGTTAATACTTGGAATAAACCGAACATTATTATGAATCCAGATTTAACAGGGGTCTACTTAGTACTATAGTCGTATTTTTAATTAGACGAAGTCAACTGACGTTTACTGTGTTGTCAGTATTTGATGAAATAAAAATAGTGTTGTGACAAAGTGAATAATTGAAGAAACTCCTGAACTAATGGAATTGCCTCGATTGTCTAGTCTAGTGAATAGTTAGTATGCCGAACTGCATATATCTCGTACGGGGTTCGAATTTTAGCCGTGCTTTATACATACCAACGAGTTTTCGACTACTATGTTCCTATAGTATCTACCTATACTCAATACCGAGTATTTTAAACATAGAGAAAAAAATTGCGAGGAAACTTTTAATAATAATAATAATAATAATAATAATACTTTATTTGCCAAATGTAGGTAAACAATAAGGAGTTATAAATATGTTGTTGAGATCCGTACATTAACCTCGTAAGAGGTGTGCAAAATTTCAAATTGTAGGTACAATTAATGTTTAATGAAATAAAATTACTGTACTACGTCATCATACCGATAGTCATTAATCAATTGTCTTTACGTCAATGTATCAGTCAGGAAATCACCAACCGTGTAGTAAGTTTTACCAATCAGTATATTTCTAAGAGCAGTTTTAAATTGATGGATACTACCAATAGATTTTAATGCCCTTGGAAGATTATTATATATTCTAGGTCCCATTCCTAAAATACTATTACACGACATAGCAGTTTTAGCCGGAAAATTACACAATTTATC